TTAGAGAAGGTATACAATTCACTCACCTGAAAACATACTATGCGATGACTTTTAACTTGTTCCTATAGATTGGGTAGCCTATGCGCAGTGAATACATGTGCGATATATGTCTCAGGTAGTGAATTTGCTTTAGTTCTGAAATTAAAATAAAATATTAAAATTAATTCATTAATATTACACGCAGTGAGTATCTAGTTATGCTTTAATTAGAGAAGGTATACAATTCACTCACCTGTAAACATACTATGGCATGACTTATAACTTGTTCCTATAGATTTTGTAGCCTAGGCGCAGTGAATACATGTACGATATACGTCTCAGGTAGTGAATTTGCTTTAGTTCTGAAATTAAAATAAAATATTAAAATTAGTTCATTAAATCTGTTCTATTTTTAGAGAAGAACCTCCCCAAATAAAAAAAAAATCTAAAATTTATAAATATAAGAGGTAGTCACTACAAACATGAAACCCTCCATCCCTCCCAGTACACCCTACAGCATTAATGGTTCTTATACTCATTTGCATCTATGTACAACAAGCTTAGCCAATAGATGCACCTGACTCATCAAACTTTTGACCAACCACTCATTCTAAATATTGTTGAGTGAGGGCGCTATTTACTATTGAGAGGATTGTTTTAAACGATTTAAACATATCTAATATTACAAGCAGTGAATATCTAGTTATGCTTTAATTAGAGAAGGTACACAATTCACTCACCTGTAAACATACTATGGCATGACTTATAACTTGTTCCTATAGATTTTGCAGCCTAGGTGCAGTGAATACATGTACGATATACGTCTCAGGTAGTGAATTTGCATTAGTTCTGAAATTAAAATAAAATATTAAAATTAATTCATTAAATCTGTTCTATTTTTATAGAAGAACCTTCCCAAATTAAAAAAATTCTAAAATTTAAAAATATAAGAGGTAGTCACTAAACCATGTACTTTCACACTCAAGCTAGAGAATAGACATGTTGGTGAACTAGCCTTGCATTGTGAGTGTTTTATTGTTTACACTCTGTAAAATACCAGTTTCTTTCACAAATGAAAACAAATAAAAAAAAAGAACTGCAGACCACACTTCTTTATATTTTTTAGTGT